TTTGACGGTCTTTTCGGATTCAGGGGACAATTTTACATAAGAATTGGGTGGAAAATGTCCCGGATACAATAATATTAGAGTATGATATTGGACATATGTCCAATAATAGAAATTTACATTTTTTACCAACCAGTAATTGGACACTGACCATTTTACTGTTACAAAATTAAAAGGCATTAAAGTGACAATGATTAAACCATGAGGAACACATTAAACCACACACTGATCTGTACACTTTTTAGAAACATCTTACCACCAAAGTAACGTGCGAACTTTTTTGTCCTATATTGGACCCAAAATAAAGTAGTTCTATATTATTACCGACTGAGATATTTATAATTGTTTACAGAGTCATCTATTGATTTGACTTTAAGGTAACTATTTATAGAACTCTTGTTTTTACAGTATTAATGTTAATTGTCCAATATCTACTTTACCCTAATAATATGATCCTCAGAATTAAAATTGCAAAAATAATATTAATATAATAATAATTATAGAATAAAATATTAATTTTAAATACAAAGATCAAAGACTTTGAAAAAAATATAATATTTTGATAATTATAAACCAACCTTAAGTGTTAAAAACTGGTCAAAGATTAATTGGAGATATGTATTCAAATTTAATTTTTTCTCGTCTAAAATGTGTGACACGCTCATAAAATACAATTTTAAAGCCCTATTAAAGAATATTGATTAACAACTTTTACGCTAAAAGCTGTTAAGATTGAAATCGATAAAACTGGATAAAATTCTAAAACCTGTTAAAATAAACTACAAACTTATTTTTAGTAGTATTAATTATAATTCTAGGATTTACCAATAGTAAAAATACAAGATAACTTAAGAGATTTCTTTTAAATGTGTAGGCATATTTGTTCTCGACGAATTTAAAAAAGAAAGACTTCGAGATTCGGCGAAGCAAGCGACCCTGGCAAGCAGTCGCTGCCTTATGCAATTTTGATACATTTTTTAACCAGACCGTTTAATTATTTATGTTCGTATCGTCGCAGGAGAAGAGAGTTCAAGGTTTTTCTTTAACACATTCTTCCATGGTGACGGTTACCAACGCTGAATTTCGGACTTACACAGAACAGACTCTAGTGTATGAACTACTCGTTCGAGTTTTATGCGTTGCCAAGTTTAATGCACTTCTGCAGATACTGGGAAAAATGTAATTTTTATATTTTTTTACACCCACTTTTAAAATGCTCATTATAATCTTTTACTATGGCGTTTTAGTCACGGGCTAAAGTAATATCATCCAAATTATAAAACCTTAATTTCTTAATTTGGTTACAGAAATATTTATATCACTCTTAAATACCTTAAAGAGCTTATTTGGGGAGTTTATGAAGGTTATCGGTACCTATTTAAGTAACACTATAAAACAGAAGTTTTATAACTAGAGATAACAGGAATATTATGGAAACCACTATATAACTTCCTAAAGAAATTCTACTGACAATTATCCTTCTTTTAATATTTCTCTCTTCCTCAGGCATATTTAAAATATATATTTCTTCATAGGTACGCTATCTTTCTTATTGTCATCTTATTCTTTAACTTGTTTAAACCACGTGGATATTTTGAGATTTTTTTATTCAATACGACTTAAAGTGCAAAGTAATTTGTATTGTAAATATGTATACAATACTTTGAAAAACAGCAGGGGACATCAAAATACCAAAATATATGAAAATATTTTTTTTTTAAATACATCAATTTCTTTCTTTTGCTTAGTTGTTTTTGTAATACAATTCGATTAACATTTATTTTATGTAAAAAACAAGCATGGCGAAAACCTAAGGTCCTAATTCAGTTATATAGGACTATCTAAGATACTTAAAGTGTTATTATATAATTTTGAAACTTTTATATACATTGTAGTAATTGTCGTTACTACAAGTAATATTATAAAAACTTTTGATAGGCAACTATCTAACCGCTCAGGTTAGTGTTGTTAGGCCATTTTTGCCTGCAGTAATAATGGTTTTAACTCAATGAAATCAATTTATTTTTCTAAACATTTGATTTCTTCCAAATTTTTATGTTAATAATATTATATTACTTATATACTCTTTGCTAAATATTTTCTTTTTTTAGTTAAAATTATGAAAAAGCATTTCGTCGAAAGCTAATGCTATGCTTAATTTCTGTTTTAATTACTTAACATTTTTGGTTTATTAAGCACATAAATAATTAATTACTCATAATTTTTATTTAAGTTTTATAAAACAGGTAACAGCAAACTGTATAAAACTCCTTTATAAACATACTGGTAACGGTTAATAAAGGTTATTTAAAATGTTTGTGGAAACAATTATATAACCTAATTAATTATATACCTAGAGTTTACAGTAACCTTATATGACCATTATAAAACTAGTAAACTAAGTGGCGATTTTATAAAACCTTCTTAAACTCTTATAAAATTTGACAACTCTTAAATAACCTTTATATAATTTATCGTTACCATAAGTAGTACAAATTGTTTACCGGCCAAAACTCGAAAAGTGAATATAATAATGTAAAAATTGGGTTAGTTAAGGTTTTTGGGGTCGCTGATCACGAATGTGATATTCAAATTATCAAATGCAAAATGGCGGACTTTTTTGAAAAATAACACTGTGCAACATTTTCGGAAAAAAATTAAGATTATTTTCGGTTTCTACAACAAAAATCATGAATTATAGCTTTTACAAAATGTTTAGATTGATTCTGTTTTTTTTTTAATATCAATTTAAACACTGAAAGAAATATATACTAAAGTTAAATAAAAAAATAATTAGGGGAAATATATTTTATGTTTCATATTTGGACTACCACATACATTGCTAAAACAAATATATTCGTTTGGTTAGCAGCCTATTGCCGCCCTAGCAATATAAATGTGTTTCTAGCAATATTTTTTTGCTGTAATTCACTTATAGTTTACATTTTATAGTAAGGGTAAGTTTATTTTTATTTAGATCTAACATATCTTCTTTACAATAAATGTATTACAAAATTTAACATACATTCATAATAAACAGTAGTATAAATGTGTAAAGCACTAGTATAAAATTTTTAGTATAAATTTGTGTTTACTTTTAGCAACAAATTTCTTTCAGTGAAGTTTTAGTAATTCTGGATCCCGAAATATCGTAAAATAATAAATTAGATAATTATTGGTTTTGTATATTGTTTTATAATGTAATAACAATCAAAAAGAGAAAAAAATAATTAAATAAAAAATAATGAGAACAATAAAATGCAATTTTTTTTTTAATTTAACCTTTTTCTGAATTTAATATGTTGTAGTGCAATTTCTTAGTTTCGCTTCTACCATAATAATAATTATGGTAAGTATTATTATTATTATTATATTAATTATAAAAAACATATTCTTTTTAAGAAATAGAATGAATCAACATAAAAGATATAACAAATTTTATTTATAATATTATGCCAAAAATTTCCATTGCCATAGACCAACAAAAATCTGCCAACATCTAATCAAATCTCTTTCCTCTATAACGATTTTCCATTTCCATTATTGTTTGATGCTTTCTGATTCGGTAGACAGCTGATTTTCGAAATCAGCTGTCTACCGAATCAGAAAGCATCAAACAATAATGGAAATGGAAAATCGTTATAGAGGAAATATTAAAAAATAAAACAAAAATTAAAAATGGGTGTATAAACATTGTTTATACACCCATTTTTAATTTTTGTTTTATTTTTTAATATTTCTTTTTAATTTATTGTTATGACAACAATTTCCTACCAGTTAATTGGTTTAAATTAATAAATAACGGTTTTTGGGTTCCAAAATTAATAAAACATAAAATCGATATTAAAAAAAAACCTGAATCAATCTAAACATTCTGTAAACCCAAAAAGGCATTCTTTGGATAGGAGAAACGAAAACCACTTTCAGAACCCCATCTTTTTTTTTGCTTTTGGACTGTGTAATTAGTTTATCGCCCGGAAAATGTTAAATTTTGGGTTTTTGGGGTTGCTGATCACAAATTTGATATTAAAATTATCAAATTCAATATGGTGGATTTTTTTAAATTTAATATCAAAATTTTTAAATTCAAAATGGCGGACCAAAAATGGCGAACTTTTTAAAAAAATAATTAGTTTATTGCCCGGAAAATCTTAATTTTTAGGTTTTTGGGGTCGCTGATCATAAATTTGACCAAAATTATTAAATTTAAAATGAAGAATAAAAAACGGCAGACTTTTAAATAAAAAATTTTGTCTTGCCTGGAAAATGTTCATTATTGGGTTTTTGGCGTCGCTGATCACGAATTTGATATTATTAAATTTAAAATGGCGGACCATGTAACTTTTAAATTAATAGTTGTTTTTTTAATTTAAACATAACAAATATTTTAAAGAAATCAACATTTATTTAAACAGAGTACCTTACCTAAATGCAATTTAAAAATAAAAGTCAAGTTCTTTTTTTTAATATATATTTTAATAAATTTGTTTTTTCTTTTAAATAATGTCAATTATTCTTTTTAAACATGTTATTTTAAATTAAATAATATTATTTTTATATGTAATAAAAAAATTAAACAATTATTTTTCTTCATATCTTTTTTTAAATTTATATTTAGTAAAAAGATTAGTGCAAAGATTATTAAATCATTTGCAAAAATAATTGTTTTTGTATGTCATTTAGTTATCCTATAATAAAATCTTAAACACCTCAACTCAACTTATTTATCGTGAAATAATCAAAATATTCGAAAAAATTTCACCAATTACAAAATAAAATAATAATAAATATAATATAATAATTATAAACAACAAATTATTTAAAACCCCAAAAGCTTAAATATTAAAAGTTTTTTTTTATCAAATTATTTAATAGGATAATTTAGAAGATGCGGGTCCCTCATGTGCATTCTGGTGGTCGATGTGACAACGCCGCTCAGCAGCGACCGATTGCCAGGCAATTGTTTTTTTGCCTGGCCTTACCTTGCCAGTCTAGTGGCCGAAGCCGAATGAAGTAGGCTGCGTCAGCGTTGCGGCCAATAGCAAAACAACATCACACATCACCTGTGAGATTTCTGAAACAAAAGTCGAACGACCGGCGGAGTAACAGGGTGCCGTGAAAACAAAAGCGCGTCCCTTGCTGCAAAAGTGTCGGCAACTAGATTTGCGATTTATTTTTGCACCGGGTGTTTCGAAATTGTCCAGTGAGATTTTAAATTTGTGTGTTCAAGTGTGAAGTGCTGGTTTGTTGAATTCGGAAATTCAGATTTTTTGGATTTAGTTTTATGTAAGTATGCAAGTTGTTATTAAACTTTAAAGGGCAAGAAGTGAGTTTAAATTGTTTGTTTGATTTGAAGGTTGTCTGTAAGTGATGCACTTTAAAGTTCAATGAAAGTAATGGGTTCTCTGCTTTTATTTATTTAAGCACCATAACATCATGTTTGTTTAACAGAATAATTCATTTTATATTTTTAAATCATTCAATCTTCTTTATAAAAAATTCTGCTTGTCAAAAAAATATGTTTACCATACAAAAATCAGATCACATATACAGGGTATTAATAAATTGGGAAAACATAAAATTCTTAAGGAGAGAAGTATAATTATATTATTTTTGTTTATAATTTATGAAAAATATTGTCAAAAAAATGGGTTTACTCCAAAAAAATTCAGATCAAATATACTTGGTGTTAGTAAATTAGAAAAATATAAATAATAAAAAGAATATTTGAATTTTAATAATAGTTTTATAAAAACATGCAAAAAAAGTATAGTAATTGGACATTTTATATAGTAATTGGACACATGGACCATAGTTATTGGACATACAATTTCCTGTGAAGAAGAAATCACTATATTACTTACTCTCTAAAAATGAATTAGTCAAAAATGTCATAGCGAAAAAGCAGCCACTAATAATTCACGTCAACAGCAATTTGTATCCAGGACATTTAGCAGTCAATTCCTATGAAATATTACTCGCTGAATCCGAAAATGTCGTCAAAAGTTATAAAAGTAGAACAGTTTTTGAAATATAATCAATTTTACATATAATATGGAATTGACTATATCTCAAAAACTGCCTAACTTTAATAGTTTTTGACGGTCTTTTCGGATTCAGGGGACAATTTTACATAAGAATTGGCTGGTAAATATCCGGGATATAAAAAGAGTATGATATTGGACATATGTCCAATAATAGAAATTTACATTTTTACCAACCAGTAATTAAACACTGGCCATTTTACTGTTTGTTTTTAGAAATGAAATTAAAACGCATTAAAGTGGCAATGTTTAAACACAACAAAAACATTTAAACAAAATTTAATAATTTAAAATGGAGACCCCAGTATCTGATAAGACGACGAACCTTGTGCACAGTATTTTTACGAAATTATTTTATTTTGTAATTATAATTTTAAATATTTATTGATTATTAATTTTAATTCTTAAAACAAAAATATATAGAGACAATTAATACCAAATCAATTTATCAACTAAATAAACACGTTTGATAGAACTTCAATCTAAATAAAAATAATTGTAATATGAACTACATAAAAATAAAGTATGAGAATGTCATACAACCATGAAATAAATATTTCACAACCAAACCTTCAACTATAAAGAGATAAAGAGATTAACAATAGTTTTTATTGTGTATTTTTGCACTATAAAAAGTTGACTTTAACAGCTGACATGATTTATAACTTTATTTATATAAAAAAAATATTAATAAAACGAGATTTTTATGACATAAATTGTTAGATATTTTTTATTTTATTAATTATTTTAATTCTTTTTATCAATTTGAGTATTATTATTATAAAAAAAGCCACAAAAGATTAATAACAAAATAACATACCTGCTGTTTAATATATCTTGTTATCTTATCATGTAAACAAAATTCAATAAAATGAGTATTTTATTAAAAAAGCTGATTAACATTTTGGTATTATTTTATCAAAAAAATTACAATTTTATTAATTTTTAGTAAGTAGATAATACTGAAAAACTTAAAATAATAATTATTGTAAAATGCAGATAATTAAATAAACCTTGCAAGACATTTTTTAAGAAACAAAATAAATCACAGTTAATTCCCAAAATTAAAGAACTTTACCTGACTAATAAAAACCTCATAAATATTAAATTATTTACGTATTTTCTAACAAAAATTCCTTACTAAAAATGTTGTGGTTCGCCAATCCATTATGAATTAATAATAAAAAAATTTATTTCTTGGAGTTTTTAACACGTCATTAACGGTTATCGATCGGATTTCGTGAAAAAAAGTATTATCAATATTCTTGGAAGTGTTACACAAATTATTGACCACTATAGGAATATTAAAAAGGCATTATCGATTTTTAAGCACAAAGACTTTTGATTTGGCATGGGTATTGTTGATTTTAATGGAAGTTATTTTTATAGAACAGGTTTAAATGCACTTGTATTGTAAACATTTTTAACTACAAGTATCTATATACTTAGGAATAATAATATATCATTGTTTGTCATTGATTTTATATTTGGATTCATTTTAAATTCTAATGATTCTAATAATAGATACCATTTCAGCTTTATAATTATTATTTTTAAATATTTATAACAACGCTTTTTATTATGTAAGTTTATTATTAAATTATACCATTTGTTAATCTAAAATTTTATTTGTAAATTGATATTTAATTGTGTGCACTGCAGCTGAAAACAAATCGATTTATTTAACTATGCATTGAGTCATCACCTCACCCTCTATTGATTAGCCCATTGTACCATGTAAATTAGAGGGTAAAAAGCACAGAAACAGTTCACATGGACAAACGCAGCATGCTAAGTAAAAGGCATTTCCTTTCATTACATAAAATTTAAAAAAATCTCACTGTCAACGTGGGGACTGAATGTTTGTATCCCAAATTTTATTCAACATAGTTATTGGCACATGGAATATTAATATTTAAACTTTATTTACGTTTACTTGAAAATAAGAATATTTGAATTTTTAATATTAGTTTTATAAAAACATGCAAAAAAGTATAGTAATTGGACAATTTATATAGTAATTGGACACATGGACCATAGTTATTGGTCGTACAATTTTTATATAAACAGAATAACTTTACATCAAATAACATAAATTGTTAAATATTTTTTAAACATAAATTGCTGTTTTAGGTAATTTTTTTATTTCATTTTTGTAAATATCATATAATTCATATATTTCTTTCTCGGATTCCTCATCCCTTTTCTGGATTCTGAAGGTAACTACTAATTCCTTGGTCTGACTTTTGAAATAGTTTGATGCACATATCATTAAGTGTGGTATTTCTAGTTTGTAAAGCATTTATAATGTTATATATTTAATATTTTTTCGGGTGGTATGGTCTGAATTTATTAATTTTGTTGCCATTAGTTTTTTATGTTCTCTATCATGCACTGTATTTAAATCACTGTTATTCTACAAGATGTCCTGTGACGAAGAAATCAATATATTACTTACTCTCTAAAAATGAATTAGTAAAAATTGTCATAGCAAAAAGTAGCCACTAATAATTCTCGTCAACAGCAATTTGTATCCAGGACATTCCTATAAAATATTATTCGCTGAATCCGAAAATGTCGTCACAAGTTATAAAAGTAGAACAGTTTTCGAAATATAATCAATTTTACATAAAATATGGAATTGACTATATCTCAAAAGCTGCTTAACTTTTATTGTTTTTTATGAACTTTTCGGATTCAGTGGACAATTTTACATAAGAATTGGCTGGTAAATGTCCGGGATACAAATAGAGTATGATATTGGACATGTGACCAATAATAGAAATTTACATTTTTTACCAAGCAGTAATTGAACACTGGCCATTTTACTGTTTGTTTTCAGAATTTAAATTAAAACGCATTAAAGTGATAATGTTTAAACCATGAGGAACACATTTATACCACACACTGATCTGTACACTTTTTAGAAATATTTTTTATTGTAATTTAAACACAGCCCTGCTCTTAACAAAAAAACAAAAATCTTCCCACCAAAGTAACGTGCGAACTTTTTTGTCCTATAATGGACCCAAAATAAAGTAGTTCTATATTATTATTATTATTATAATACTATTATAAACTTATTGAAAATTATTCCCCTCGCAGTATGATGTCCAGTCGCGAGCCATCTGCCTGACAAGCAAATTATTTCAAGTGTATACATTTCGGCAGGTAATTTTACAAAATAAAAAGGCTTAACAAAGAGTCATAACAAAAGTTTTAATATTATCGGCCATATGCTCGTCTTTGTTGTTAGCCTTTTGTTCATTGAGTAAATGAAAAGTACAATTGTTGAAAGTTTAATTTCATTTATTTTATTGTTTGCAGTAAAAATTTTCTGGAGAAATTGTTTGTGTTTTAATGGTTTAAATAACACATAAAGTATGGTATTTTATTTGTCTAGCAGGTGGTTATTAAATACTACCTACGTAAAATAAAAATTTTGATAAAATTTTAATAAAGTTATTATTTAATGCTTTTTATCTACTCCTATATAATGATAATCATTATAACCGGTTTTTTTGTTTATTAATTTTTAAAATTATTTAAATATGTACTAATTGAAGTAGTATAATAATATACTATTATTAAATATGCCAAAGAATGACATTTGACAACTTTTAAAATAAATTTTACCTGGTGTAAATTAAACTCCTTTTAAGTGTTAAATATTATGTGTTTTTGGTCAAATTAAATCATACTACATAGAAAAAAGGAAAAAAAAAGGAAACAGGAAGTTCCTTGACGCGTTACTAGTATATTACCAGTGGTATTATTCCAGAAAATTGAACCTTCAACTCGCTAGACAAAATGTTTTTAGTGCGTTCCACCAACTTAAAATACTTTAAGTATTGACAACTGTTTCCACCTATTTAAGGTCTCTTTAGTATTGAACAACGTAGTGTCATACCAAAGCAAAGGACTACCTGAGCTTATATACTCTTCATGTAAGTCAACAGAGGCGAGATTTAAGAACATCACGAGATCCACACCGCCTTTGCCGCGATCGGTACACACTATGCAACCAGGAATGCACGGCAAATTGTTTTAATCGTTTTAACAGAGTGCTTTAGGTTGAAGTAACTCATATTTTACAAACAATATATTTAGTAAACTGAACCATACAGCGGGTTGATTTCACTAAAGTTTTCTGGGTTAATTTAACCAATTTAAAAAAAATAAAATAACTATCTGGTTTAGTACCGTCAAACTAATCTTTGTTTATATTAACCTTCCCATAGT